GTGAATCCGAGTTGTATGAGTGCATGCACAGCATTGTGCCCGAAATGGCGATAGGAGAATGCGTGATTAGTCAGAGTATTAAAGCTATGCGACCGCAGAGTTAAAACTCTCTCCTGTATGTATATTCAGTGCTAGCGTCACTAGACAAAAAATTCTTGCGATGATGTTCTCCCCCATTACAGCAATGTTTCTACCAGTATATACCGTGAGCTTCTTTTGAGAGACCTACATCATGCCAGAATTCAACCTTCTACTGTGATGCGCCCTCAGCCAGTGTTCCGTGTCTCCTCTACTGACTGGGAATGTATGCGTGTTTGTGTTTCGTCCTTCCTCTCATTGGCCAAGTCCTTCCCTGTCTGATCGAACACTGGACTCAGCACTCACGTTACTTACTTGCTGTTTGCTTCTATACGTTTCCTGTATGCACCGTTGCTTACGATATACTTTCATTGCCCCGTCATTGTTCTGATTCATCTGGGTGTAACATACCATCCACCTGCTGATGGACTATTTCGCTGAACGTGCCCAGCTTACTCGACTTGGGGTTCAAAGTTCCTCGTTGTTCACCACAGCCTTTGGAGCTCTTCAAGAAGCCATACTGTCTCCATACCTCTTCTTCACTTACATCGCTTCATTACCTGTCCCTGATGAAGCGATATTGCTGTACTATGCAGACAATTTGGTCTTATGGGTCCAACATCCGACCGTAGCCTCATCAACCATACTACAAGTCTATCTGGACAACCTTGCATTGTGGTCCAGAGATCACTCTTTACCGCTGAATGCATTAAAATGTAATGAAGCCTATTTTCCCTACACAAAGGCCGTCATCGTCACCATCAACTTATCATAGATTGTCCCGAACTTCGCATAGATGGCGAGAGGTTGTGCTCCACTCTCATTGAAGTACCTAAGTGTCACACTCAGCCGCAATCCTTCTTTGTCACCTTACGTGAATGATGTTTTCACAAAAATGAAGAAGCTTTCTTTCTACGCAGTTCGTATGAGATCATCGCCTGTGCCCCGCTACTTAATGCTGCGATTTATCACCGCTTGTCTTACTCCACTGGACGTATTTCTCCTATGTGGCATTTCCTGGTTTCCTTAGAAAGTATTTTAAAATCCCAAATAGGTCATTGACGCAGCTGTCACGATGTGGTGGCATCCAAAAGCCGATCTTTGTTGATATCCTTGTGTCTAAACAAATTAGTTCATGCAAAAAGCCTAATGATGCAAGTTACCCTCTGAATGTGTATAAACTTCTTTAATCAGACAAAAGCATAGATTCCATTATGCATGTACAAGTGCTTACGTGTTTCTTTGGAATCAGACATCAGTTGTTACGGAGTTTACAAGCGAGTTTGAGTTGTGACCATATTCCTGTCTCTGGCACTTAGTAACCTACTTGTGCATTCACTATTTTAAGTTTTATTCGTTTCACAATGCTGAATATTCAACCTTCTGTGTGCATAAAGCTCTTGACTTGAACTGATTTGCAACTGGGTGAAACACCGCATACCGTTAGTCCTAGGGGGCGATTCAAGTCAATATTCAGTAGAATACCACGAAAGATCTTACCTGAGGTACAGAAACAAGTGGCAAAGATAGAAGCGATGAGAATTTTTTAAAGCGTGCGAAGAGCTCGTATTCCTCACCAGTGCTGCTGACGAAAAAGGCGGACAGTACCTACCGATTCTGTATTATTTTCAGAGAACTGAACAAAGTGGCGGTGAAGCGTGCGCTTCCAATGCCACAGGCGGGGGAAATTTTTCCTAGTCTTCACAACGCAAAGCTGATTTCGTCAGACTTCCGCTCAGGATATTGGTAGCTGCTCACCGCTGCGTTGTAACCATACTACTATCTATGCCACTTGGTGTCCTACTTGTTTATTCACTGTTTTAAATTCTATTCTTTTTACAGTGCTGAGGATGTGTGTGTGTGTGTAACGACTGAGTATTCACCCTTCTGGGTGCATAAAGTCCCTTCTTGAATTGCATTGAACGTATTTAGGATAGTCTGTGTAGCAGAATAGGTGCTAATAGTTTGGAGACAACCAAAATGAGACTAATCCCTATATGATTGACAAGAACTGTGGGCGCCTTTCTTGAAAATCGGGACAATAACTGATTCACCTCAAGAGGAAGGCACTATTCTTTCATGCCATATGTGAGGTAACAAGGTCAGCTAGTTTAATAACTGTCACGCCGTCATACCTGAACAGCTCTAGAATAAGTCAGCCCGGGCCGGCAGCCTTGAGTCACTTCAAGTGTGGAATCTCGAGGATAACTTCCGTTTCTCTGGGTGAATCCAGTGTGAAAAGTAAGGGTAGGTAACAGGTTGTACTGCGCGCACGGATGGAGGCCAGTTGATCCGTAAAAGTTCTCGACCCAGTGGTCCAAATGTCTGCTGGTTGATGATCGGAGATTCGTCCGCCTCGCAGATAACCTCACTGACACCAGTGGACCGAATGAGTTAGAAAAGTTTTCGAGTGTTGCTATAGGCGGTGGTCTCCATCAAATCAAGCTCAGGTCGCGCGACCCTTGCGCAGGCTTTGCTTGGGCAGCCGGTTGGCTGAACCGCGCCGTTCATAGCAATCTGATTCTGTCAAAACAGAGATTCAGACCTTTAGAAGGCGTCATACTAGTCCGCAACTTGATTGTCCCGAAGTGACCATTGCCTTCTGTATACAAGTCCAGTGTTACTCTATGTCTAGCGGTGGATTACAGCTGATTGCGTCTGCTAATGAAGACTGAGAGCTCACTTGGACCAAGGAATCAATTAATTTGTCCCCATCAGTATTGCAGTGCTTCGCTTTTGAGACCTCCCCAATAAAAACGCATTCCGATTTTCTTGCAAACAAGCGCATGATCTGAATCAGTGAAGGCGGATCAGAATGACATGCAGTCCCGTACACTGCCCTCCATCTGTAGCTGATGGCAATGTGATCAATTTGAGACCATGATTGTGTTAGGGTTAAGTTGCATAACGTTTCTTCGTATGCTTGAATTTGGTGCTCGATAGCAATGCTTGATTATTTCCGGTATCTGAGCTGTCCTCATCGAGCGAGTGGTGACCACCGAGGTGACGTTCGTATGGTAAAAGGCGGCTAGCTTATGCATTGAAATCCCCATCCGGTTTGCTAGCCTTGCCCGAGAGCTGTTGAAGCTCTCGGTATAAGTCGTCCTTGACCGAGTCACTATTGCAGTCAGTTAGAACGTACGCGGAGATCACAAACAATTTGCGTCTCCCCTCGCGACGCCTGTTGATTGTACATGAACTCAGAAGCCAAGCCACACACAGTCGACAGTTAATCGGGAACCATTTCGGCAATGTGGCCTCGGCCTTGTTATTTGGTGCTATACTCCGGCCAAATCCGCTAAGGTTGCTTCTGGGTCGCCAGAAAGACGCAGGTGATATTCGGCTTCGTGGTTAATGGGAGATGTCAGCGTAAGCACAGTGCTGGGGTCCTGCAGTCGGGTTTCAGAGAGTCGGCAACATCGAGAAACTTCAGGATGCGCGCTAGATTGGCTTGCTCTTTAATCTACACGCCGGACGGAATGAGGATCAAAATCGAAGGAGGACCACAGGTCGAACTGCATAGTTCTCGATGCAACCGAAATCGCAGGCAAATTCATGAACACGGGAATCGGGTAACGGATAACAAGGATTGTTAACACACAATTGGCTTGAATGCAAGATGCAAAAACGACAGCAGATGGGCACCTCGTAGAACAGCCCATGGTACTTTGTCAGATAGCGTACTACTACCCGCTTGCCCAAGACGAAGTAGTTGGCTTAGGGGACACTGCTCCTAGTCTTTAGCTATATAACCTAAACGTAAAGCAGCGATGCGAATTAAGTGAATCGAGCCCATTGAAAGTCGGTGACTGATTGACCAGTTCATACGCCTTTCGTTTGGTCGCTTACCAAAGTGTGGCGCAATCCTCCCCCACAATTTCAGCAAGTGGGTGCTAGAATGCAATGCTCCAGCGGGATGAAGCAAGATACAGTGACTATTTTGTGACGACGCTGATCCGCCACATCAGTTGTTAAACAGACGTTGCTTGTTATAGGGAAAACGTTTGCTAGGCGGAAACCCACCACGTCTTGAAGCACTGCTGCCGAACGATTTGCTGGAACGGGGTAAATCCGAACCACCCAGCTGGGACCATCGGGAGGTTGTCCGGTGAGCCACGTGTAGAGCAAACCGATGCGGCTGGGTTCAGTATAAAAAAAACCTTTACGGATAAAGGATAAGGGAGAGCAACGTGCCCATGTATTTAAGATGAATAGAATAGTGGATCTGCCGACTATGAGGCGCTTAAGCCTCAGAAAACAAGAAACAGATCAGACGAAACTAAACCAATGCAGCACATTTAGATTAAGCGGTCCAAGTAAAGGGGGAACGAGAACGGAAAGATGCAGGCAGATTTATCTTGGCTCGAGATGAAAAGCTGTACGGATAAAGGGTGAAGAAGAGCAACATGTCTATGAAGTTAGGATGGATGGAGTGGTGAATCTGCTGGTCATGAGGCGCTTAATTTTTGATAGTCTGAGAACGGTCTGAAAACAAAATAGCTAGGTCAGACGAGATTAAATCAATGGGGCGAATTGGGAGTATGCAGTCTAGGAAAAATAAGAGTGAGAACAGGAAGAAGCATGCAGACCCTGCTAATCTCGAGATGTCTACGTTTCCGTTGCATTTTGTTCGGTGACTTCATCACCACATTAGCTCCCAGGTACCTATGTCCACATGTTTTTCATCTTAAGCGATGCTCGATGCGATACAGCTCTCAAATATGGTGTATTTTGGACTCAGTTTGATTCTCTAAGCTTATGCAGCAATTGTGCTGGTATACCATCCACTCATTGCCCCGTGGAACTGAACTTGACTGTATTGGACGTGTTGGAGCACAACAGCCCCTCGTACTTTTCTGTTTTGACAGATCGCTCGTGTGTTAACCCTAGCGACCCTCCTTTCTCTCTGTTCTGTTACTTAGCTGCTAAACGCGAAGATGACGACGGCAGTGACAGTATGTTAATGGATACCAGCGACCAGAACAACCATAAAGACCTTCGCCGTCGTAGGATGAACGCCAAGACACGCGGCCAATAGGGAAGATTGGAATATGGGTCCTACTTTCTTGCTTTGATATTCTGTTACACATTTGTGTGCTGTACTATGATTTCGTCAAGTGCCTCAAGTATCCTACTCTCTCTCTTCCATTTAACGCTCTTTGTGGTCTGCTATCGTACCTACTGTGTCTTGCTGCTCTGATTGTCAACAGATGGTTTTCTTTCCGGATTGTTCTTATCACATTTTTACTCCGGCTGCGGCTTCAGTGTACTTTGTCAACCTATGTACAGTTCAATTGTCCAGCTTCTAGTCTATGCGCGTTACGCAACCATGGGTTTTCCGAAACGCGATGCACGTGCCCCTTCCCAGTGGTTTTTCTCTTCTGTTCGTTATCCCCTTACTGTATGCTGTTGTAAAGATCAGCTTCGAATATGGTACGTAGTTGTTTTATTTAACCAAATTACCAGCAAATGAGAGTAACGCTTAGAAGGAAGACAGGTTTCATACAAATCAATTTGCAAAGCGTATAGTACATGTGGACTTGGTGCACCTCACACCAAGCCACGGTTCGCCGGCTGTTTGACTCGGTAAATACGCACCAACCAGTTCTCAGAGGTGAACGCTTCTTCCACACTGTCCAGATCATAGTTCTTGTAGCCAATTGCCTGACCACGTACACGGTCGAACCCGTAAGGTTGATCTGAGGGAGTAAGTATTGTAATGGTTGGTAACGCATGTAGAGAGCACGAAGCACATATGAGAAACAAACGAGAGAATTTATTCCGAAATGAAGGACTATTATAACTAGATAGAATTCCGCTCAGTTAATAAGCAAGTTTGGTAAGGTCTGGATCCGGACTGCTTCGGCTGGCATCTATGGCTTTGGCGCCACCGCAGTAATTGTCGTCACTCCACACTGCTGCTAAGCATGAGAGGAGGATAAGAAAAAAAGGGAAACGTAGGAATCAAAAGGAACACTGTGGACGAGATCTTGTGGGAGTACTCTGCAGAGGCTCTGTTCGACCTCAATAGGATAAGTGGAGACTGATTGAGGTGCTTCGCTAGGACCTAAGTGTACTGCTAATAACGCGATACGGAAGCAGGTTTAACATATTCACCATAATAAGTTGTGATCATTCGAAAGAAGTATGAAATGAATTGAAACCAAGTAAGCTGATGATCAAAAGTCCAGTGAAGCACGATCTAACTAGTCATGAAAAACGGGATAGTGATGAGCAATGTCCGTTTGATCGGTTTATTGGCGATAGAGGCATCTAATTCGTAAGTTACGTTTTACTGTGACTTAGGTAACCAGCTCACCTCGGCTTCACTACGAAGAAAATCGAAGAGCTCAGAATCGTCAGAAGCGGAATGTGACTTGTAGAGGTGTCAGAGACTTGCAAACAGACATTAATAAGGAGTCGCTTCGCGTAGCTATCAACAAAGGCTATGAAGTGTCTAGCTGGTGATGATGAGTAGCAAGTGTTGAAAAGCGTGAGCATAGGCATCTTGTGGGATAACCATTCGGTTTCAAAAGAGAATGGCGAGCAGAAAGATCTCAAATAAACTTAATCAGACGGCCACCTCACATTTGGAAAGGTGCCGGATGCTTGTTCCGTTGTACTGGCAACTGCAAGGTGCAACCACCACCGGTTCGCGTGCGATGGAGTACGATCCAGGAACATGAAAAGGCATCAGCAGCAAGCTGGTACATCCTACCGACGCTCTGCTGCCACACGACCACTAGTCTGACGCACACTAGGGATAGTGCGAAGTCGCACTCTCGAAGTGGTGCCATGTGGGTTGCAAGCCAGATGCCTGAACCACGGCAACTGACCGATCGTGGAGATCCGTGTAGTGATAGTTCGCGCGTTTCGCTTATAACTCCTAGGCGCAGAGGTCGAGTCCACTCTCTTGCATGTGTTTGGGCGCTCCCATAAAACTGCCTACGAGCAGATGGCAGCGGAGCATCAGTATGATGTACTGTTGTTACATTTTATGCTGAAAGCCAGGGAAAATAACCAATAAACGAAAGTGGCGGACAGATAAAACTTACCTCTTTCAGTTCGCATCTCCCAGAATCGATAATAGCTCAACTTATAGAGCAAGCAATTGGCCAGAGTGGGGCTTGCAGAATTGTCTACGCGCATCTCACCGTGAGGAGTATAGTAGTTGTTTTCGTTGATATGGCGTCCCTTCTCCGTACTACCGGCAATGCGAATCATCCAGATGAATTTGTTGATATCTGAGAAAGACAGATTATATGATTGAATATTACATCACTAATAAATTTACCTTCACGCACTCTCTCTCTCTCTATATATATATATATATATATATATATATATATATATATATATATATATATATATATAAAATTCCCGGCAGTGTGGGGCACGCCTGCGAAGGCATGTGTGTGTTGCGTGTTAATAGCCGGATTAACGGACAAAATATGTACTGTACTTAAAAACCTTTTGTCACAAGGAAATTTAAAATTAGGGCAGTGAAAAATACCGGGAGCAAGCACAGAACAGGATATAAAATTAGGTAGCTAGAAGCAACAAAGTGGACGCGAAGCCGTAATCGCCTCTCAATGTGCAGTATCAAACATCTCGGAAAACCCGTGGGACCGGTCATGTGGTAACTGTGCAGGGAGATAAGTAGAGTACGGTCATGGCTGGTTTCCTCTACGTATTTTTGTCATGTTAACAACCAGCCATCCCATGATTCATACAACCATACATATTTCTGTGAATAAGGTTACATGAGAGATCACAGGACGAATGAGTGGTGTATGGTTTCGGTGGAAAAAGCTAAGTAAACAGCGTCGTGAACAGAATCGCACTGTGCAGCTATAAGATATGATGTCTATTGCCATTCCTGATATAAGTAAACAATAGTGCAATCGCAGCTAGATCAAACCCTAACCCTAAGTTGCATCGGATGTCACTTCCCGATTGTCTTCTCTGGAAGTTAAGGAAGAAGTCGATAGTTGTCTTTCATCAGGACTGAACCAGAGTAGGTAACAGTTAGACTGGCGAAGAGCCCCAGCGTCGTGCCATTAGTTCTGATGGTGCATGAGCCCCATCCTTACTCAATAGTTCCGAATTCCTCAAGGCTATATGTGGCGGAATGAAAACATTTCCCAACTGAACTACTTGGTCACACACTCGAATTGGGACTGCACCCCACTACCTGTGGGTCGGACTGTTGAGTCAAAGGCAGAGGAACTCGAACATAACCCTTATCTAAACGACTTCGGAATGCAATCGAAACAAATCATCAACAACAGCAGTACATCAGCTATTTGAACTGATGCTTCGCTGCCATACAACTATGATGACCTATGAAATAAAGAATGATAAGAGGGAGAGAAGGGGGACTTACCGGAAAACCTTAATGCCCTAAGCAAACATTCAAGGTCAAGGCGCCTACACCTTGTGTAGACAACATACCGTCACAAACAGCTGGCTATCGTGCAAAGATAAGGCGGCATCGGCGAGACAGCTTCCTTGCGGCTTTCACTACCATGCGTCATAAACAGCCACTACCCCGCAGATAACTCAGCACCAAACACACTTTAAACAGGCAATCCGAGTAGGAGACGGCAGCAGACGCGCCACTGGTGTCTACTGCGAGCCATGTCCTGGTAAAGTCTTGAGTCAAGCACAAGGCGAGTCACGTGGACATCAGCCCGGAAGACGAAACGGATCAACGGCACCCAGTTTGGTCGTCAGTATCTTCATCCGCTGCCAACTCAACTTCTGTCCACCTCGAGCCTTGCGCCATCCTACACCTGGCAGACTAGACAAGGCCCTCCTAGATAAGCTGTGACCAGGCATACGTAGCACGTGCCCGAGCCAACGCAGCTTATTAGTGCTATCTGTTGTTCTAGGGAGCTAGCATGATTATCACTACCTAGTACTCGCCTACGTACATCATCGTTGCGGACACGCTGGTGCCATCCGACACCAGCAATGCTTCGCAGACAACGATGATCAAAGACTTGAAGGCGCCTCAGGTCTTCAGACCGAAGGGGCCAAATCTCACTACCATAGAGCAAAACGGCCCTTACTGTGGCCTTGTAAACATGGCCTTTCAGACAGAGGGAAACTCCCTTCTGTCTCCAAAGATGCCGCAGGTTCAAGAAGGCAGGTTTGGCCTTTGCAGCGCGTGAGCTGACGTCATTTTCTATGCGCCCATTGTTGCTGATGCAGCTGCCAAGATAAGTGAATTGATCAACCACCTCGAGTTTCTCGTTAGCAAGGGTCAAGGGGTCATAAAGTGACTGGTTGTCCTGCAGCAACACTGCACTTTGAAGGTGCAAAGCGCATACCAAATAATGGGACCACCCTAGACAGGCTATTCGAAACAAATAGCGGCGACTGAAGGAGTAAGGTGTTTTTTGTAGTTCGACATGCAATGCGATTCCTTGAGATCGTACAATAGTAGTTGCGAGCGACGAAAATGCTAAAGTCGATCGCTCATCATACTCGGGACACTACCTCATAGGTCGTTTCGCAGCCGATGCTTGTAATACGGACGACGGTTGATGCACCCCTCGGATGGGCCCTGGCCAGTACCAATTCAGCAACACGTCTTCAAGCGTTTGCGTCAAATTGTGTGGTGGCCACCGAACGATAGGAGGCATTGGACTCACATCATCCATATCACTGCTACGTACAGATCGCGCACGTCAGTATGTGATTGTCGACCGAGCAATCACCAATGCAAGAAGTAATCATGTCATCTCAGCTTCGATTATCCCAATTAAAGTGGGAAAGATGGACCCGTTGGGGCGTCGGTCTCAAAATTGACGTGGAATGTTAGTGAATAGTGAGGGTTCGTGAGATAAAGTATCAGCGCTGTTGGAAAGACCAGACTGAAGTCTGGTCTATGATGAAAGGCTCACGTAAGTGAAACAGTTAGCTGAAAATAACGTGCTATTGATTTACATCTACAAGAGCGCCGAACCGACCCAGTGTGCGGAAAACGCAGTAACTTGGCCACCGGAACATGCTTATGAAGTTGATGTAACCAGTGGATCAGATTACCTTCGAGCACGGCTGCGGAAGGACGGTTGCGACACAACAGTGGTTGTCTTGGTCACACTGATCGACACAAGCTGTCCCTGGCTAGTGCTTACCAACAGTCGTTCATATCATGAATTGGGCACAAAAAACTACCTGTGATAAGCATCGACGTAGCAATTACACCCCCAAACTGCTCGGACATTATTTCGGCAGCCCAATGATTCTCATGGGAGACGGATCAGTTAAAGTCAGATTAACTTGCCCATCACACAGTGCATTTATCAAATTTCTACTCTTCGCTGGATAAGTACATTTGCGAAAGCCCATCAGGCTAGTACTCCTTAAGTTTAATGTTGCCTTTGATTTGGCGGATCACACTTGTTTGTGTGGGTCTGTGTGAGAAATTCCTCTCTATTCTAAAATCTTTACACCAAGACTGCCGGGAAAGCGTAAGAGTCGACGGTAAACCCCTTAATTTCCAATGACAAATTTCATCGGATTGGCCCCATCGTGATGAACGTGAATGGCTTTTCTGGCATTTTCCATTTCTAATGGAGTCGCAGTCGTACTTAGTGACCAACTGTCAAAGCTGGAGTACGCGGACGACATAGTTCCCTTTGAACCGTACCCAGTTGCAAGCGATACTGAATGGAATGGCGCTTAGCGCTGTATGTTATGGTATGCGCTCTGCAACTTCAACGTACAAGGCACTGTTACAGGATGGAGACGATAACACACTGAATAACTGCTCGTGGTAGTCCACTGGTTTACTTACCTGAGTAGCTGTACCACCGATGGAGGTACTGAAGAGGCTAGTACATGTATTGCTAGGGCTTGTACAAACTGATGGAGACGCGGGGCGCAAGCGTATCGCTTAGGGGAGGAGCTTAAAACGTTGCGACACGAAAGTGGACAAAGACTTGACCTCGGCGCGCTCAGAACATTGACGGTATGTCCGTGTTCCACCATGGATGCTTGTGAAACATTGCCCATAACTGGCGGGGACACCGAATGGGTAATCCTGATGTTCACCATTTGGAGCTTGGCAACAGACTCCCCGGTTCCTCCGCTGACTCAGTTATGTGCTCCGCCACATGCCGACTAACCGGCTATCTCTGTGTGCATTGTTTGCCACTACCGCATTAAGCTGAGTAAAAAGCCGCGGCGGTAAGAAGCATGAAGGAATTCATCGAAAGGCGTTTATCGTCTCCATGGATGGAGTCCTCAGTGGTTGGATACCCTATCCGTTATGGTACAATCACGAAATCAGTGGAGCTCTTGTATTCGTTTCATCATTCCTGACGATTATACTTCATGTTCACTTCCCTTGGAATACCAATACAATTTCCATTAACATTATGGTTTGACGATTGTGTCAAAGAAACGGGATCCACCGCAACTCGGTGCACTGATCGCAATTGATGAACCGATCTGATTTGCAAGATCGAGTGAAGGCAGCGCTTAGACAAGAGACAAATGTTAATCAATCCAACTCTTACCATCCGAGCTGTAGCCTAGGACACCGCCGAAAATGACCAATACATAATCCACATCCAATTCGCGCATTATTTCATACGCTTCTTCCTCGGAGGAAGCCATAGCCTGACCAACACGACCGATGTGGGTGTTATTCCACGTGTTGTTATCCACCAACACGGTACGGTTCGCAATCCCAGTGATCTGATACCCGTAGTCCCACCAGGACATAATTCTGGCATCCTGAGACAAAGGAACAAGGCAAAAGAAGGACTGGGTAAAAAGATGAAGGAACAATTTAAACAAAACTTTACTGCACACATTCTTGATCGGTAGAGACAAAAGGTTAGAGGATAACGTTGGATGCAACATCCTTTGCCTGGGAAAGTAATTATCGCACCGAGAAAACCGCCTATCAATGCAGTTGGGCCTACCGGTTTTGTGTTCTGACGAAGCCAGTAGTATGCCGAGCGATAGTCATCCAAAATATGACGCTCTCCATGGCGCCCGACTGTCTCCAGCACAATTGATGGATGAGAGTAGGAACTGGAGGTTGCCCAGACACAGTGCTGATTGTACATGACCAACAAAACAGTAACCAAGCAGACCATGAACGTGGCGATCTGTGGCGATGGAGGAAAGAAAAAAATTTGCGATATGTCGAAGCAGAGAGAGAGGAGAAAAAGGTATGAACGGGCGTTCACAAAGCCAAGTAACAAACTAGGAACACCGTGGTTACAGAGCAAGTGACTAGTTTACGGCATATGCACAGAGGAAATGAGGCTTCTGGCGCTTTTTTATGCACCAAGAATGTTGACCAAGGTGAACGACGAATTTAATAAATAGTAAAGTAGTAAAATATGCGGTAGAAATCAACTTGCTGCAGGTAAACGGAGTTGGAATTGGATTAGGTTATTTGGCCCTTAAAATCATGAGATAAAAAGCGAGGAAAAAGATAGGAACTAAAAAACGCCAACTAGATAAATGTGGACAGAGAACAAGCCACCGCATGGAGCGACCAGCAGCCCAAAATGAGAATGGATGCGTTCATCGTTGGCTTAACGGCAGCATCGCCTAACAAAGGGTAGTTGGTCGTTGATGTCGCCTGCCTAGAACACCATGGATACAGACAGTATGAACTGGAAAGATAAAACTTCACAATCAGTTAACCCACGCTCCTTTGCGATGTAATCGGTTGACCAGTACAACAGCGCGACTAATATAATAATGGCAAGAGATCCACACCAAAGTAGGCAGTTGGTAAATGGGTGGTTGGAAACTGTTTATCTTGCTTTTGCATTGGCTACTCAGTACTGTACTACGATGATTCTGAATTGATAGTTGATAGTCACCGATCAGAAGGCACTTCTTCTATTTGCCATGCAGCGCCGAATAGAGCAATCAGATTAACAACTAATAAGTAATCGTCATCTTCAAAAATGGATGAAATTCTTTGGAACGAGGTACATCGTCGCGCTTTAACAGTATCAGTTCGACGCTGGAAGATGACTTGAATGTCCCAAGTGCGTTCGCGCTCTTGGCGGAAGTCAGCGGATGGATTCGAAAAGCGCCACCTAAGGCGTACTATATCTGCTTAGTAGTATGCGACTCTGGTTGAACTGAACTCGTACTCTGCTAGCTCTGAATCCCAACCAAATTCAGAAGTCAAAGCAAAAAGCTTGTTGCAGATATAGCTACCGAAACGAATACAAGTAGCGTAGTAGCATGAATCAGAGTGCCGAGTTAAGAATTCTTTTCGATAGATCTCGTCAGATTCAGACAAAGTGTGGATTATACGGTAAATGTATCGAGTTGGGTTGAATATTAATCAGGACGTTAAAGTTAACAACCGAATGGATAAATCATGATGGCACTGAATGTTGTGGATTAAGTGCAATGGAAGGGTATTTAAGTTCATTGTTTTCACGATCAGTCAAAGGTTAACTGGGGTAATAATCAAATCAAATGATCAAGCATCGAAAAAGGTGGGCCTCAGTAACAGAAACCGGCGTACGAACTGCTTCTCTACGCACAGCTCCGGCTTGAGGTGACGGATGTAGGTAGCCTCAGCAATGGATAGAGGTTAGCGGAATCCGCGCGAGAATCCCTCAGGAATGGGATGAATAACCCTGAAATCCTTTTCAGAGCCTGTGGGACCGTACTCAAGGAGATGCGCCATAGTGTAGCTATCAGAAGACCTCGCTTCACCTCTGTAAAACCATTTCCGGATGTGCTCGCGAATGCTATAAGGTAGGCGCCTCGTAGTACGATTCACATATCGCGCATCAAAGGAGCACAACTACTGATAAACAAACACTGGTCGAGTCAACGTAGGCAGTCTACACTTCAAAGGTTTTGTGAGTAAAGGCTTGCGCAGGCGAGCCGAGAAGCAGGTCTTCTCAACAGTGTCTTTCAAGCGATTGGTCAAGGCATCAACCATAATTTCGCCTTTGAATGGTAAAGGCACACAAAGTTCCTTCTTGGGCACGCTCATTCTCTGTGGTCTTCTACTGCGTTCTTTAAGATGTTTGAGGAGGAAATTATCAGGGTACCTACTTGCTCTTAGGGCTTCGCTGAACCTCTGTGGTTCGTCGGTAATTGTGTCGGGTGTGCAACTACTGCGCACCCGAAAAGCAAGAGATTCCGTTTGTTCGGTAACAGAACCGCACTGTAAAAGTTGGTGTACTACCCAGTGTTTTCTATACACTTGTCTGCTGCGAGATCTATCGGTGTCTCTGACAGTATCTACTTCCAGAAATAGTAGTCCTTCTCCGGACTCATGCTCACCTGTGGGTTGCATGAACACTGTGAAATCGACTGCTAAGCAGAACGATCTGTCGTTCCAATAATTTAGTCAACGGCGTATGTCTTCTCTATGGTGCTTTGAAGGTGAGCCCAATCTGCCCGCCCATCTGGTTCTTTAACGACGGTGCGCGCCCAGATGTGCAACTACTTAATACCAACCGACTGAACCATAGAGAATCCACATCAAAAGTGGTTAGTTTCGAAGATGGGTGCTTCATTGGAGTCGGATAAGGTTAACGTCGCTGCACTCTAGATTATAATCAGAATACATGTAGGAGTATTGTAAACACGATACCATAAGTGAACAAATGTTTACGATGATTCTCTTCAAACCATTACAATCATATTTAAGGGTAAAGGAAGGAACCAAAATCGACCCATTGGCTTAAATTTCACAGTTCATTAGCGGTTCAGTGTGGGAGGCTAAAAGTTGAACTTTGATCTGAGAGGTCGAGTGCATGATACCGAGCTTGAGCTGTGGCATTTGCTCGTTCTAGCCGGACAGGGAAGCTGTAGGGCATGGATCAACATCTTTTGCGAGCATAAAGAAGGTTGAAACAACCGGATACAAATGGATTCACGTGCGCAGCCAATTTAAGATCGGGAAAGCATACAGCTCGGGGGCGACATGTAATGTGACGTGAACGCTTTCGCTGCGATGCAATCGGTGCCTGGGGGCGTTCTGCCAAGAAGTTCCCTAACTACAGAGATGAACTGAAAAACAAAAGCCACGGTGTGTTTTGCCGTTGATTAGTAGTCAAGTTTTACACCTGTAATCTTACAATGGGATCCCCACGAGTAAGCCGCCACCGGATGCCCGTTGATCGGCTTCCTCAGGGTGCATTATACGCCGTGGCTGCACCAAGTTGGGCGAAACCTCGAGGTGGCCAGTCCATGACATGACATAGAAGCTTGAAGAAATTGACTGTGAGACTTGGTCAGGCTGGTGCGTGCCGTCTTTGTGGATGGGGGCCTCGGGACGATCCACACTAATGTTTGGAGACGGTGTCAGACATGGCGCAGTCACAAAGTCAGTGGCCTGTCTGCATTCGGCTTCTTACATCTGGTTGTTAATTTTTGTTCCATTCCGATTAGTCTAACGCATTTCTTTCGTGCTTTCATTTTCCCTGCATTCTATTTGCACCCACCCCCCCACTATCCTACCAGTGTTATTTATTGTTATCCTTACGGTGTGAGTCGTGGTTACTGGATCCACCGCACTTCGGTGCTCCGATCATAGTTGATCAATTGAACTGAACGGAACCCATCAGTGCAACATCGATACTGTAGATGCCACAAGTTGCTGAATGGTTAGTAGTACGTGTGCGAAGAACGCAGTTTCGGTCACTGGAGTCGGAGTCACGTAAACAAGGGTGTGTTACAACGCCCAAGTTTCCTCATTGTGCGTTTTGGGGCTATACAAAATGGCGCAACCGAGAAACCAAGGATCAAATTCTAGCCACATCTTGATTGTTTAATCTGAAGCCAATCGGCATCAAAAGGTAACAGAAAAGTGGGGAGGTGCTCTCAGACAAGTACCGGGTAGATGTAAGAATCGATTGAACCGGAAGATAGGGTATGCAGTAAGAAGATATCAGCAGTACGCCGGCACACTGTACCAAGACTACGCTGCCACGCGATCACAAACAGTCGCGAGGGTTTGGTATACCGCGGGGACCCCTGCATTTACGCGGAAGGCTATGCAGTAGTTCGCAACAATGAGACGAGCACTGCTTCCGGTGGATCCAGTAAAACTTTGAAACTGATCTCGGAATATTTCAGCTTTTGATGGAAAGAAAAGAAATATGCTGACTTTGTGCTATTTTGTGGCTAATGGATAATGAAAGCGTTAGGTCGAGGGTGACTGTAACTAAAAGCACCGCATTTTGAGCGAAAGGTGACCACCGAGACATTATTCGAGTTAGTTGTCAGGAAGACGAGCGAAGGATAGCACTGAGTATAGCATAAAGAAGTGTGGCGAGTGCAACGATTCTAAGTAGTGGAAAACATATCAGCTGGACATTACGTAAGCAACAATGGTTAACAACTGTAAAGGTGTTGGAAAGATAACGGAAAAATGCTGGTAAGCTCACATGTCCTGACACGGTGAGCTCGGTGGATGACTATGCACTGTGGTGTGAAAAGTAATCACCAAATCTGTGGAGTAAAAGACATGAGAAAATGTTAGTTACCTCCTGTCTGAAAGGATATGTAGGGTCTGAAGAAGGCTTGGTGACCTTGTTCAAGTTTGATGAGCAGACAGTAGGCACTGTGTACTTGGTGGTTTTCACAGATGCCGAGGAGTCATCCACCTCCAAGTGGGGAATGAAGGCACTGAGAATGCCGGACAGACCAATACCGCCAAGTATACACATAATGGGAGCCAAGACCAGTATCAGACGAACCATAACACCCTACGGACGAAAATAAAGGAAAATATCATCGCTGAGATGAGTGGATAAAAATACTGGAACTCGTCAGCCAAGTGGCTGATGAATGTTAATACGCAGAGTGATAATGTGCACCTTAAGCTAGTATCATGGATCGCGATCGCCATCATGAACTGGTTGGAAATGTCACCACAACCAATGGAAGTTATAGTCAAACTCGTACAAATCTGCGCTATTCTTCGCGACGTTTCTCCGCTACGTTATGGCCAAGTGAGGTGGGCAATGTTTCGGGATCAAGTATAACACATGGACTCAAATCTACATTTGGAAAGCTGATTTGGGAGGTGTCACATAAGCAGTGAGGCGTGAGGCCGTTTCGTAGTCAATCAGAGCAGCGTACAACGATGCCCAGTAGTTGAATAAAGAAAAAAACTAATGTGCGATCCCTATGAATAAGTGCAAAAAACAAGGAAAGTTTCCTGTCTACGTCATCCGGAGAAATGGCAACAAAGAGCCAAGTTAATGCTGTCAGAGACGATAATAATATAACCATTCCTGACAGGAAGAAACAAACAAGAAAGGCCTGAGAAACGGCGTGTCGTTGCAATAGAATGAGTGGTGCACAAAGTGCTGCGTGAAGTAAGAGTAAAATGGAAAATGGTGACATCAACAACATGGTGGCTTGCCATGAAATGTGTATAGCGGGTTCTTCGACATGTCACAGTTAGGCCAGTGGAGAGATTAAGAAATGGAACAGCCAAATTTTTAAAGGACAGATAGACATACACAAGAAACCATTAAAAAAGGAAACTGTGATTTACAAAGAACTTCGTATGAGACGGACCACCAACAGAACGCTAGATCAAGAGTGGAAAGCCAACGGATAAGGCAGCAAAAATAGCAATAACATCAACATTTTGTGTTTCTCTACCATGTGACTAACATGACATTAAAGACCAAAAAACATTGATTGCAGAGAGCAGTTGCAACTTCTGCAAGATAGAAACTAATTTTAGCGGTCAAGTGCGCGTCGGTCATCATCGTTAATACACCGTAAACGATTGTGAGAAACATACTTCAGCTAATGTGCCGCAATAAAAAAGAGATTAAACAATACAGAGCAAAAAGTAACACAATGCTAAATAACATTTATGCATACGGTTTCCGATCGTTATTGGATGGGGAAGCTAAAGCGGAGGGGAGGGACAAAGAGATTCACAACGCAAACGCCACTGAGGTCAACACTTTATGTCAACTAGTGTACCCAAACAAACGTGTTCATCGTCGTTCGGACCTCAGCCCAGGAGTCAGAAAACACCAAGCGACGTCAAGTTCGACGTGAAGGACTTCATTTTTCTTGACCAAGTCATCGCTTGGCCTCCCCCCCCCTCTTCTTCCATCCAGACCCCAGGCGCGCAAACAACGCACGATGCGGGAGTCGGTAAGCTGGCATAAGCAACAAGTGGCCTGGCCTTCGGAGCCTGGTGCGTGAAATAACGGCGCTGAGTGGTTCACTCGCTATTCCCACCAAACATGAGCTAAGCTGCGAAGGCACCGATGATCGAACGTGACTAGCCTCTATATCTGTCGACTTGATAGGCCAGGTTTCACAACCGTACAGGGGGGTTCAACGAACGGCTGCATTGTAAACTCTGCCCTTCAGAGAGAGTGATGTCACGCCGGCGCCACAGGTGGCGGAGATTTGCAATGCATATACAAAAATAGGATAATTGGGGAATAATGTCCAAATTCTTGCCACTAAGGATCAAACTGCTTCCTATGTTGAAGATACAAAGTGCATGCCAAATAGCATGACGACTCCAGAGAGCCGCACAGAGGGCATGTCACTCGCCTAAGCTAAAGCGACAAATATTCAACTGGGAAAGAACTCGATGTTCTCATAATGAGATGCACAAGGGAACAGTCCGACATAAGATTCACAATAAAGCAGAATAGAAAGGAGGAAGTGGGGCAACTCTGATTAACGTCATTTGAGGTCGAAAAGGTGCCTGACAACTCGGAACGAGAGATGCTCCAGCATAGGACTAGTGTAATACCTAAGTACCTCTTATATTTATTCACAGTCTGTTAACAGACATTGTGCCATCGCTGGCTTGCCGAACAACCTCCTCGTGGTGCCAGCTGGGTGGTTCGGGATTATCCCGTTCCAGCGAATGGTTCGGCGGCAGTGTTCCAGGACGTGGTGGGTTTTCGCCTGGCAAGCGTTCTCCCTATAAAAAGCCACATATGTCCGCTTAACAACACTGTGACGTGGCGGATGTGACTCGCCACTAAATAAAGTCACTGCCCCTTGCCTCTCTCTGAGTGGCATTGTAATTCAAGGGTGCGTTGGGCCCCTGGTCCTATGCGGTCCTAAAGGCGTATGAACCATTTGTTTGGTCACCGGCTCCCAACGGGTTGCGATACCCTCATATCGCCCTGCTGCCTTGTAGGTTAGATCCTTGATCAAAGGCTCGGGGTGGGGCCCCCTAAGACAACCCTCTACTTCGGCCTGGGCAACCGGGTAGTATCTCGCCCACTGACGAACCATGGACTTACAACACAACCTTTCACCCGCTGTCTTGCTGTTACCATGCTATCCACTCATGTTACTATGTCAACTGATGGCACAATGTCTAAGTACCTATAGAAGGCATTGTTTGCGCAATCAAATTGAAATCGAGCAACCCAGTTCCAGGCTGTTGATGGTACGTGGGACTCCGCTTCAGTCTCTGCTGAGGAGCAAAACTAGGATTTGTACACCTCCGTCTCTGTCGGAAACCTGGTTCATCTTCTTTGATCCGGGATTCCTGTTTCACCATAAGACAGTGAGTCTCCTCCAATGGTCCCCAGCGGCCAGTTCAAAAAGAATGACTTTAAGAAGTTAACGTAGCAATGACAGGTGTGAGCAGATGGATAGGAGACATGCAGGGCATTATGCCAGCAAATTTTCGTTTCACTGCTGAAGCATACCACCAAAAGTAAAGCCGTATTCAGTGCAGCGGTAGCTCATAAGGAGAGGGTACCTTTTCTGTTTAAAATTTGCTGCAGTCCTTGATCTATATATTTTACTGTATTTGTTAACTTATAATGTTTTGATGGTGTAAAATGATTGTAAAATCCAGATCATGTCGGAAAAGGCCAATCTGGTAAAACCGAGAACACACATTATTATAAAAGACTGTTTTTAACCTCAGCATCTTACGAGTGTTACACTGAGAAACGAAGTATAGCATTACAAGCTAAGGGAAAATCGATAAGCAAACCGATGACAGACGGGTGATCGTTTCAGTGACTAGCACAGCTTACCGAAAAGTATAGGCTGAGAACCCCGTATGTGACGATAAAAATGCCATCAACTGTTGGCTGTCTCATAAGAAAATATAGGCCAACTGAAAATGGAAGATGAAAAAAACAAATTGAACACAAACCAGGAAACATGACCGCCAACAGCTGCATGTCGAAATAATAGGAACTCCAAGCAGTCGGTTGATGCTCAGAAACGGACGCGATGATAGGAATGTGATTCTTGGCATAAGTTGGGTCGAGAAGGGAGTAGAAACGCCCAGTCCAAGGAGCAACTTTGCCTGCATTGAAAGCAAACAAAAAGGAAAATAGTTCAGACTTAAGTGAACGTATCCATATCCATGCGCTTCCCAAAATTTTGCAGTAAAAAACAGCGCTACAAAACCTCTGGACCTAAAATTTGGTTTATCAGTAGCATCGACCAGAAAGACTGATCGTAATTGGGATCCGCAACGGATACGGTATCTCGTAGCTTACAAATGGAAAGAAATACTCTCATCGATTAGGCATTGGTGGAGAAGAAAAGCAGAATCTTATTGGATGAGTTAACGCAAGTGCCAAAGTACTAGTTACAGACGCAAGCTTCGGCCAAATCACATGAAATCATGTTCAACAGTGGTCTCAGAAGCGGAACATCCAGATTCCACGTCACAATAGCCCAGACTAAACAGAAATAGGACAGAGTAAAATAGTCAAAGGGGAATAGGGATTAATTAGAGCAGTCCACCTTAAACAGCAACTGCAAGTGGAAAACTGGACAATACAACACCGATGCATCACGTCAGATAGAACAACACCATTTTGATATGGCTAAACGCGCGACTGTCATATAGTAAATCGGCATGTGTGAGGAGAGTACGCAGCCGGTGGGAACAGACAAACCAATAAACGAACCAAACAACCAACTGGGAGTGAGCCTATACGCCCCCGTCATGGGACGCATCAGCTATAGACGCCCGGTACTGCTGATTGGTTGGCGCTGGCTGAGCTATAGTCGTTACTAATATAATCAGCTAGTTGCGAATAAAACAGTCATTTTCACTGACCTACGTTTTTTGAATAAAATGGTTTCTCATGAAGGGCCGATTTTTTGCGACAGCTTGTGTTAAAGCAATAGTCACTCTGTTATCTCTGTCGCGAACCATGGCTTAATCCAAATGGGCATATTATTAGCAAGATAAGCGGATGTTATGAGTAAAAAGCGACACGAAAAACGTAGTCTGTTCACGGCGGATTAGCCAACACGTTGGGAAAAACCTACGGTAAAGAAGCTACTGGTGCTGGTTGCGAGCCAAGTCCTGCAGCGTCTCGAGTTGAACATTAAGCGCAGATAACAAAATAAACGATCCGATGTCAGCTAAACGAAACAAAAGTTCTTCTGAGTAAGCAAAGGCATTAATAGAGAACGTACCAGTCAATGTTGCTTCTTATTTGTGGATTTAGCGAAGTGACATGATCACCGACGAGCAGCACATAGCTGCGAACACGCACACGTCATTTGAAGCGTGCAAAGCTCTGTGGACATGAGGCTTATTGAGCCATTCCGATTGAAGGGATCGAACTTCTCCAGTTCGGTAAATCAACCACCTTGTGTTATCAGGAGCGCTGCCAGCAGCTTAAGCCCGTATGGTTGCGACGACTGAAACATAACTTGGTGCTGATACACAATCTCATAAACCAAAAGACATACTCCAATCTGTGCACACTAAAAGTGAAACATAACTTCACTCGAAATATACGCAACAAGACCTGCACATTAATCGTGCCAAGAACCAAGACAGATATCCGATCCAGCTCTTCCCTCGTCAGATACACTGCCGTGATATCACACACTCCAGAATACATATGCTACTCATGCATGAACATGACCATTAGTGTACCCATGACTGCTCACAATTCAGGGGCACCTGACATTTTTCGTCGCTTTGCGTGCCGCCTTCCATAGAACCACAAGATCTCTGTACAACCAAGGTTGTTATGCTTGGGTTTCCTTTCCAAACTGATGACGCAGACAAGAGTTTTGCAGCATCTGGAAAACTGAGGAACCATAACCCTCGAGTGCCGTTCGCATCAAGCCGACGTGTTGGTTGCCTGTTTGCTGCTACTTCAGGCTGTAGTGAACAGTTGAGGTTTGGTATATAGGCTTTGAAAACGCAGTTGTGTGTATTTGTGCTAATCATAAGCTGATTTGTAGTCTTCTGCGTTTTGTAGTTCCTCAGACGGCTACACTTGTCGCCTACAAGTTGGTAGCGTGCATGCTGTTGGACGAGCTGCTGCATCACAATATCAGCAGTTACTCTTGTGAGCCATCGCCATTCCCGTGTCCTAGCACTTAGGATTGGTACCTCTTGATATAATTAGACCAGGTCGATTTTGTTGCATTTCCTGGCACCCTATAGAACGACCCTGATGTGAAACAAGTGATGGTACATTTTGTTCACCAGCTCGCTTCTCTCTTTACCTGGACAGACAGACCTATTCTAGGCCCCTAACTGCTTTATATTTTGTTCCATCTCACATAGTGTATGATTGTAAAAGCAGCAGATGGAACTTAGTTAAGCAGCCAAGTGACCGTCGTGCCTATGATTACCATACTAATTTAACCTCGTCCATCTGAAATTTCTGGTCCTCAATCGCTTGCAAATCTTGTGATAGTAAATCATTATCATCGCATGATAGCCGTAAACATGTCTTCCGTGAGAACAAAAGTGCCAACATAAAGCTACCGTAATGACCAATACCACAGTGGTCACAATAAGTGCTAATAATCTCGCTCCCTGCAGAACACATGACAAAAATGAAGGTTCTGGATTACATGATAGAAGAAATGTGCGAGAAGCTGCGGTACAAGAGTGACACGTATATAAACGGCTGACCATAATGACTGTCGCCTACGCCTCAGTTGATCGTGCCACCGAGGCCGAATAAGTATCTACTAAAGTCCAAACTATAAGTGGAGTATGCAAGCATTGTTCCACATCCCTACTCCCGTTCAGCTGTATGACGGAAACCACCATAAATGACTTTGTTCTCCCAGCCTCCACTGGTGTATCCGTTCCGCCGTGTGACCGAGTAATGAACTTTGAGTCCGTGAATGATAGATGTATCCTTGGATCAACTCCATCCCTGCACAGTGGCTTTCAGGCAGACTGGTGCAAAGCGTCACACGTTTCGGTATGACCTTCGCAACTTAAAAGTGCAAGGCGCTAATGCAAGACCGGGCAGACACGCTGTCTATTTTAGCTACCATTGAAGACAATTGAAGCTGTCGATCGGTCCATTTACCCCGGTAGTTGCAATGACTTTGAGAAGCACGTCAATGATGTGATCAAAGGTATCAGCAAAGCCCATGTGTAGGTTCAAGATCACAACGATCAGTAAGTACAGCGTGGTAACAGCCTATGCGAATCAGGGTGTACACAATGGATGTAAGGGAGACATTACTTTATGGATGGGAATAAAAGCTATTGAGCACTGAACACACCCCAGGATACCACCCGAGAATCAGTTACTAAAAACATCATAAGCATCACTACACGTTAGCTGAGGGTGAGATACACACCTCAGGTAATGCGGCGTAATAAGAAAATAAAAAATAATATCAGAAGAAATGCACACTACAAAGAATTCAAAAAGAAAGTAATATAATTTCAATATTATATCATGTATTTCGCATGAACCTAAAGGAGAGGGTGGACAAAGGGACTCACAACACAAACGCCACTGGCGTCAGCTCTTCGCCATATCAGCAAGTGTGTCCAACCAAATGTTACTAAAAACAGTAGAGATTCTTAGGGATAAGTCAAGTCATTCGCTAGAGACCTCATCCGGTGGTGCATCAATATTCTTGTATTCCACCTCCCGCATTCAGCTGTCAACATTCGTATCTTATTTAGTGCACAAACTTTATCCATGACTTGTTCCTCCCATCTACCTTACGATTGTTAAGCTGGACATGCGTCATGGCAACTGGGACCTACTCTGCATCAGTTGTGTTCTATAGTGAGTTTTATGAACACAAACGGAATATGGCGCATAAATCGAAGAAGCGAATGAGTTTGTCGGTGGATGGAAATTGGCTGTTGTCCGACAAAAAAACACTGCACCACCACGACGCGTTTCGATGATACTGCATCTCACTAGGTGTCGGCTTTTTGTCGTTGCATCGCTGCGGGACAACGCTGGATTGTCAGAGTTGTCGCTCTGAAACTGAGCAGCTAAGCTTACATCAATGAATACTATGATGAATTATCCCAAAGTCACGCAATCATGCCCTGTAAAACACAGCTTTTCGATCCGTGAATGTCAAAACGGTAATTACAGAATGTTCGGAGGAACGTATAGCTGTAGAAGAGTGAGGGGGAGTAGCATCAGCGAGGCAAGGTTAGCATGTGCACAAACGTAGATACAGAGCTCAGAACGGCAAAACACCGAGTAGTGTGGGTATTTTGTAGCCCGTACACAAGTAAAAAAATGTTAAGAAAAACGAAACTTACCTGAAAATGCCAAAATCGAGCAGCAAGTGAAGGCAGCTATTCCCAGAAGAGTAATGAGAAAACGGAGAGACCGATGGAAGCTTTCAGGAAGAAGTTTCCTCTGCATATATTCGTAGAAGGCTATAAGTTGGCATAGACCGAATACTCCAAGAGCCTATTCTAGTGATAAAGTGTATAGTAAAGACTCACTCCCATGTGTTCGCTCGAAATGACAGGAAGAAAGCCGACGAAGCTAATTTGCATAGAAAATATCGTACCTAATGTGTAAAACTAAAACTTTTTGTCAGAAAATAAGTTACGCACAGTCGAATAAGCCACGTAAATTTTGTGTGAGAATCGACCGGTCAACATGAGAATGAGTACGTGTATCGGAATCACGTTGATCAAAAATACATAACCGCCCCAGGAGGAAACCTAAACAGTAGAGGAGTTATACTTTTCGTACCATATAGAAATACGCGAAACTGCAGGCGACAGACCACGAAACAGATCCGGTTTTAACCGCCTTCACCCAGGTGTAAAATGTAAATAGCATACAGAAAATAGCAATTCCTTCATTATCGTAGGAACCGGCAACGGAGCGGCTGATGTACCCCGGGACGATCGCAACCAAAGCAGATGCCAACAAACCAGCCTTGGTGTCCCTTACCTCCTTTGTCAAGAAAAATGTCACCAATGTAGTAAAGCTAGGGAATGAGAACGGTAATTAAGGCTCACCTTGAAAACAAAGGGGCGAGAAAGACGCAAATATTACGAATATCCACCGATGCGTTAAGAGCAGTGAGAATATAGTAAATGAGTGAAGACGTCAGCATCAGACCTAAATTAATTGATTGTGATAGGACGGAATCCGACATACCTGGATATATAGTTCCACCGATGATTCTACCAAGCGGGTACCATGCCATATCATCAAACCAGTCATGAAAATTGTAGAAACCGTTTTCAGTCATGTACTTTGTAGTCCGATAGTTGAAATACGGATCGAATTCATGTATGATGGATTCAAAACGAATGACGGCAAACAGGCGTATACTAAACGCTAAAAGGATAGTATATTCAGCAAATATTACGAAGAATACCAAGTATTGCTGACAGAAGCAAAGTCCCTATCTCCAGCAAAAAGGGCTGCTTCTCCAACCATGACCAAATGAAGGCAGGCAAGCGAACCATCGGATGGATTGTAGAACGCAGTGATTGATGTTAGAGTTAAAGTTGTGCCAACGAACTACAATGGAGATAGAAACGTACATATTGGGATTGAATGAGAAAGTACTTAGCCTCGGTACCGTATGGAATGAGAGGGAAAATACAGATGGTGTGTGACAATGTGTGTGCGCACAAGTCAAACGGTGTAAAAACACAGTACAAGTGGCAAAAGGAAGGAGTCAACAGCAGCAGTATAATTAGGGTTTATACCTGTCCGAGTTTTACTTGAGTTAACAAGTAACTAGGGATTCTAGCAAGATCCCGTGTACATGAGTTGAGAATATAAGGAAAGGTCCGCATGGAGCAAGATCGGTTGTGTGTCTAGCAAATGCCGTTACACCATCGAGCTAAAGAATGGGAGTCGCTGGAGGCGCAGTCCGTGGCCCTAGTGTATTCGAACTAGAAGTAAGCTCGACACATTGGGTTGCAGCTGGGAATGATGGGTCAATACCCTGGTAACATTAAAGTGCACAACAGATTATACTCTTTCTAGAATTGTGATATAAATTCGCGATAAAATTTAATCCCAACTAAGGGCACAGACGTAGCGACATGCCAGAAACCGGTGCAGGATGGCGTCAGTAAGATAACTGATTCAGCCATAATGTAGCACCTTGGACTCGACGACCATGATAGACTTACTAGCATCTGCTGTGTTGGGTAGGAAATCTAGTGATCTAATGGATGCGAACGGGATCAGTTTGTAAGTTAGCTGAATATTTTGACGTAAACAATCGATAAAAGGCCAGGTCGACACAATGGGCAACCGTATCTTCCGTTTGTCGAGAGATGTGGAGCGTGGCACGAATGTTAACTATTGCTCCATACGCCAGAAAACAATAGGAAATTGCGAAACACAAACCTACGGAAATGTACTCATATGTGCAGGCTTCCGAGACCGCCTTCAGAGAACAAGGTGTTCAGTTCCTCCCGTACCTACAATATGGTATGTTGTGATATCGGTTATGTGGATGTCCAAAAAAACGACAAAAATCCGATACGACTCTCCCAGTGATCGGAGTGCAACCATTCCAAGGCATTTCAACGCATAGTCTATTGTACGAAGAAGGTTCGAACAACCCGTTTCGCTAGAGATCGAACATCCTCAAAACATAGCACATACTCCCAGGAATCTCAAGTACTGATCCTACTATATTCGGCGCAATAATCTGACACCAGTAGACGGTCAGAGTGAGTTGCAGAGATCCGGGATGTAAGTGTCCAGGAAGTTGATGCGTAGAAATTCGTGGCAACCCAAGCAGGAGTTTACAAAGTCCATTAAACAGAATCGTTAACGAAGTGTCCTTGATTGTGCTTTGATCAGGATTCTCCAGATCATTACCTGTTTGTCGTAAGATGGCATCGACTTTTGATTGCATTGCCACGATTAAATAAATAAATTGTTTATTCTCCACACTGTGGGACACGTCTGCATGATCATGGCAATACAATAAAAGACCGGTAATTGTACACTGATGTTAAATGAATCCAGTTGGAAACTGGATACATGAGAGTATGTGCATGCGTAGGTATGTGGTTATGTTGAATGAAGTTGTTAAAATGACGCTGTATGTGTGATTGTGTTTTATCTGGTTATCAGTGCAAGTAGGGGTCACAGAAATCCTTCGAAGTGGATGAGTGACGTCCGTGGAGAGGGTAGGATCATCATGATGGTCAAGAAAGCGATGACTTTATTTAGCGGCTAGTCACATCTGCAACATCGCAGTGTTGTTAAACGGGTACATGTGACTTTTTATAGGGAGAACGTTTGCCAAGCGGAAAACCACCACGTCCTGAAACACCACCGCCGAACCACTTGCTGGCATGAGATTGACCCGAACAACCCAGCTGGCAGCACGTGGTTGTTCGGTAAGCCAGATATGGTCTAGACCATATTTCTAGTAATGAAACACGTAGTTGTTAGACCCGCCTCCTTCTATGCGATTCTGGTTGAACAAGCTCCAAATCCCAGCCGAAATCAGAAGTCATCGGCATCATCATTATACTCGTTAGCTAGAGGTGGAAAACAACTCAGCTATTGTGCCGCAATAAATAAGAGGAAAAAAGATGCAATCGAGGCACGCCAGCTGAGCCACCAGTAACGGATGAGCACCGTTCCGGAAAACTACTAGCCGGTATTGCGTGGCAAAAAATGATACTATGTAAAAGTTATAATATGTTAAGAAATGAGATCGTAGTTGGAGGGGAGAGACAAAGTAACTCACAACACAACCGCCATTGAGGTCGGCTTCTGGACATATCAATTAATGTATCCAAGCAAACGTGTTAATCGTCCTTCGGACCTCAGCCCGGCAGTCGTGAGATACCAACCGAAGCCAACTACAAAGTGAGGGACTTCATCCCTTTTAACCAAGTCGCCGTTTGGCCTCCCCTCCTCTTTTCCCATTTACATACCCGCCGCGCAAAACGCATGTTGCGGGAGCAGGTGTGCTGGCATGCGCAACACGTTGTCCATTCATCGGAGCCTGGTGCGTGAAAAAACGGTGCTGAACGCTTCATTTCACCTTCATACGCCATAAACAAGGCGCCGAACACGCTCATTGATCACCCGGTGTTCCCACTGTATATGAGCCAAACTGCGAAGGCACAGATGGTGGAACGTTACTGACATCTTTATGTCTGCCGATCTAATGGGTCTGGTTTCACAACCATTCAGTAGAATCGAACGTACGGCTGCACTGCACACTCGACCCTTCAAGGAGAGTCTGGCGTCGCGCCAAAACCATAGGTGACGAAGGTTAGAAAAAGCGCCTCGAGCTTTTATGGAGCCTTTAAATCGGACGTTGCCTTTTATGCTGAACATCATTTTTTACATTATCTACTGTATATATCTCAGTTTTGCAGGATTAGGCTGACAAATATTTTGTTCAAACAATTTCCAAAGTCACTAAGATACGCTACTCCATCCAAGTTTGAATATAAACGCGAGATATCGTGCACGATCCCGATCTGTTGCCACTGGACACAAAATACTACGTCGATTACAACGAAGCCTGACGGAACATTTTGATGGAACGTTTTCCGTTCTGGATAGATATAAACCCGGAAGATTTAGTCCAGCTTTGTAGGGTAGTTTCTCGATCGATCGATGGCAGTGCATCCTCATTTTCTAACCCATTTGTAAATTAGCATTTTTAATTGTAACTCTTCGGTACATTTACAGTTGAGAATGTAAAATGCTGAAAATACACGCACTTGGGTAAATAAAGCTTATACTGACTTTGTGATGGGAGTATACACTCGAACGAACGTGCGGTGCCAGCCCAGCAAGGAAGCCGTTAGGCTGCCGCAAGCAAAGGCGGCAGCTAATTGGACGTTCACACGTTTCTCGCATGCACGCTGATTGGCCAACAGTGGACGCATTGGAGTGAGTTTGTTTGACTGAATCAAAGGAAAAATGTCATGCATCAACAAAGGTCGTTAATTATGGATCCAACCAGCGGTATATACCGATATGTTTCACTCGCCCTCTGTCTCCGTTTTCGCCTGGTCCTGTTGTTTGCAGAATATACGTTTTGTCCCTGAAGGACCGACTTTTCACATGGTGTCAGAGAAGGAGAAGAACATTAGTACCACCCAGATGATGATTGGAGCTGCACCGGCTATTCAAATGCCTGCCCCGCTGAACATGGATGAACGCAGTTTGGCAAGCAACTGGCGTTTGTGGAAGAGCAAATGGATGGATTTCTGCACTTTATCGCGTCTGGACAAACAACCGATGGCGTACCGCTTGGCCATGTTTCGACACGCAGCAGGAGATGATGCGCGCCGCGTGCTAGAGACATTGTGTTACGACAAGAACGAAGATGCCAACAATCTGGAGACAGTTCTTGAGAAGTTCAGTGAATACTGCGAAGGCCAAACAAACGAGACATTTCAACGCTACCTCTTCTTTTCGCGGAACAGGCGGCCAGGTGAATCCGTTGACACCTACGTCACTGAGCTAAAGATTTTGGCCCGATCCTGCAGTTTCTGTAAATGCATGGCGGACAGTCTCATACGGGACCGCATTGTTCTTGGGATCAATGACGAAGGTTTGACGAAGCGATTATTACGAAAGCGCAATCTATCTCTGCAGCAATGTATCGACATCTGTAACAGTGAGTCCTCCACTGACTATCAGTTCCAGCAGATGACAATAGCAGGTGATTCAGAGTTGTGCGCCGTTTCCAGGAGCAAAACTACGAGGGCCACGACCGCGCGACAGGAGCCCTGCAACTTATGTGCAATACGACATCCGAGGAACCGCGAACAGTGTCCGGCGTGGGGCCGCATTTGTGTCAAATGTGGGAAGCGCAATCACTTCGCCCGCTGCTGTCAGTCGACAGATGTCAGTGCATTCCTTCCAGACAAATCAAAAGAGGACACCGAACAATCGATTGGTAACGTGTCTCGGAAAGCGTCGCAGAAGTGTGTCTATGCAAGTCTCCTGATCGAGGGACGGTCTGTGCGATTCCAGTTAGACACAGGCGCGACGATCAATATTTTGCCCAGAAAGCACTGCCGCGGCGTGCAAATTCAATCGGATCAAGATTATTTGCGCATGTGGAATGGTTCCAGACTCAAGCCAAAGGGCTCAGCGGCAATTGAAGTGGTCAATCCGAGAGACGCTGTTTCGCATCGTCTGCAGTTCGTGATCGTGGATGAGGATCTCACGCCGATTCTCGGCATTGATTCGATTTTATCTCTTGGCTTTGTCATTTTTAACCATGATCGTTTTGTGTACGCTTGTCAGGGTGAAGCCGATGTTAGTGACCTGTATCCGTCGGTGTTTAGCCCGGGTTTAGGGGAATTCGAGGGTACCGCTCACCTGTCGTTAGATCCTTTGGCACGCCCGAGTGCGTTACCTGCTAGGAGAGTCCCATTTGCGCTACGTGACCGATTTTCCGCGGAATTGAACAAGTTGGTTATGCAGGGGGTGATTGCAAAGGTTGATGAGCCAACAGACTGGGTTAGCCAGGTCGCAATCATTACGAATAAAAATGGCGAACTACGCGTA